TAGAGAGAGAGAGAGAGAGAGAGAGAGAGAGAGAGAGAGAGAGAGAGAGAAGTAGCAGAAAAATGTTCCCGTACTCCAATAAGGAATGCAAGAAGACGCAGAATAAGCAATCGTATTCTTTGATAATACCTACATACTGTTGATAGCAAACAGACGATGATGAATATTCTATGTGTTCGCATAGTGCAAGAGTTGTTAATGCTCGACTACGATCACTATTACCTCGCCTATTCACTGAAATAAGTCGCAAACTCAAGAATCTATATATGCCATATATGTATATCCTACAAAATTATGCTTTGTGTGCTTTGCACGCTGATACCCCATATTGTATATACACGCACGCACGCACGCACGCACGCACGCACGCACGCACGCACGCACGCACGCACACAATCAAAATTATACAAAATTTCCATTAGTCATACTAATGTTTCAAAACTTTTACATTTGTACCCAGTTCGCATACAACTTGTTAATTTCCTACTTGTTTTTTGTTTCCCACCTGAAATAGAAATGTTAATAATGCAAACGAATTGTGTACAAATATCCGTTGTATCTATATATTTCTTTTTCTTTTTAATTATGCGTTACAAGAGTAAACAAAGTTCCCGTTTTTTAAATATGTTAATTTAATATTGCCCACTATTTTCACGTATCAATACGTAAATTGCATTTTGTACACAAGGTAGAGTATTTAAAACAGGTCACCTGAATAACTCTTTTCTTAATAATAGAATAATTCTGAATAATGAAAGAAAATATTTCACACACATAGATAAAAGTTGTAGGGTTTAAAAAGGTCTATTTATCAGCCTTATCAGTATGATCTTGGATGGCATCGTCAAGGTGAGATCAAGATCAATTTTCCTTTTTTAAATATCTAGGAATCCTTATTTTTTATTAGATTATCTTTTTCTACCAATTAATTTTAACTTTTGTTTAAAACCTTTTTTATTTGCCTAATATTTTTTTAGATATTTATTATAGAAAAAGTGTCACTTTTTCACTTTTTAACATACAATATCTCAATAATTGTTTATTAAAGGGAAAAGTGATATAGGATTCTTTTACTTGATTTGATATCAAGAATATGCTGTTACACTATAGGATCCTATTTTAACTTGAAGATCTTGAAATTTCTTTGGAGCTCTCTGTATACACAAATGTTTTGATAAATTAGGATACTATACAGTAACAGCATATTTTTGAGACCAAGTCAAATCAAAAAGTTTTGTACCACTTTTTCCACCGACAAACAATTATCGAGTTATTGAAAGTTAATTATTGAAAAAATAACGATGCCACTTAAGGTCAAACTGATAAGGCTGATAAACAGACCTTTTTAAACCCTACAACTTTTATTTGAAAGGTTTTCTTCTATTATAAATGATAAAAGAGTTATTCAAATGATTTGTTTTAAGTGCTTCACCCTGTACAGCTCGTATAAAATTTTGTGATTACTGTTATACATATACATATGTATATACATTGAAATTAAAGTATAAACTTTTTTTAATAATTGATAATATAATATACAACTGAAACATTCAAATCGTCATAACGTTACATCTTGTATTGAAATATTATTATTTTCTGTGACAATTTATTCTGTATAACCCATTATATTTATTGACAGACAGTTTATAAGCAATTATATTATGTCGTATTCTTTTACTGAGCTTTATTAATTAAACACATATTTGAAAAACATTTGGTATTTCACTTGTTTACTAGCATTTTACTTTCACATAGTTACCAACATAGTTACACTTTAATATCAAACATTCGAAGATATCTTTCGTCTAATCATGCACAAAGTCATCTGTGTGATATCATAAAACTTCAGCTGTACCTTACTTTACTAATTTGTACGATATTGTACATGTATATACATTAGTATTCACGTTGTTTATAAAGTATGAACTGTTTTATAACATCACAACCACTTGGGCGTTTTACAATGACTTCGTTTAAATTACATGTTATATACTCAGTTATGTACATACATAAATCCAAATGACGATAAGTCTTGTTGTTTTTCCTGCATTTAAAGTTTTTACATTTAAAGAATATATTTCTTAAAATTTGAGTGAAATACCAAGTCGCAGAAAATTTAACACTTCTATAGAAAAAAAAGAGCATTAATACACATTTCGGGCGGGTTAACAATTTTGACGAATATAAAAATGAGTTAAACGAGATCAATGGTCAAGATATAATAATAGCATTTCTTTTCCTTTTTTTTACAATAGTTAAAATCATTTTAAAATCACACGTTATATTTGTTTCGGTATGAATATAATAATAATGATAATAATATTTACATTCTGATGTAATAATTTTTATATTCTAAATGCAAACAGTATTATACCAAAGATAGACTGTGCAGAGGTTGTCGGCTCTTCACTCTCTTTTTAAATAAGTTTCACAAAATTCGAATGTCCACAAAAAATTGTTGTATTTGTATTATAATCATTTTTTTCGCAATTCTAAACACGGGTGTATAGCACTTTGTACGAGCTATTTAAAGACGGTGAAACACGATAATTCTTCCATGTAACAATTTTCTTTACACATTCACACAAGATAAGTACTCCAATCAAAAAACATTTTACAATTTTTTATCTCATAAATTAATTATATAAAAAAATTATTAATTTCTTTTACTATAATACATTTAATGTCTTATTAAGTGTAATAGCCAGCCTCCCTAAAAATGTTTTGCTACATTACGTATTGTAAGTCTTTCTTTTTTTTTATTTCTTTCACCGTAGGAAAATGGTCTTGACTTCTAGCATGTCAAAAAGCGTAGAAGAATTCCATGTATGGCCAAAGCAGACGACGACAATTATTTACATCCATGGGATGTATTTATGCGGCTTTAAACATACTGTTCGTTCCTAAACGCGTTGCGTCAAGCGCATATATAAATTATAATTTATAGTTTCACTCAAATTAGTCCGTTTTACTTTCCTCTTTTTCGGAGAATTTCTTTTGCTGTCCCAGCAAACAATAAATCAAAATCAAATTCTTCCCTCAGACGTTTTTGTATATAGCTGCTGTTCACACCGGACATTCATCATGAAACATTTTATTATTTGCATACATTGTCGTGAATACACTGGATTCACTCACTAACCACTTGTCTGAAATACAGAACCTTGCAATTAAAAATTCCGTAAAATATGTTTTTTATTTGAATTTTTATTAGTATTTATACTGAATAAGTTTCTTACCAGCACAATAATTTATAAAATATACTTACAATTATATCACAATGAAGCAATCTCCGTATTGATGCGTCACTCAAATGCTACAAATAAGAAAAATATTTTTTGCTTTTGCATTTTATAACCAAAACTCCAATTTTAATATAACAGAATATCTAGCATATTTACGGGAAGGAGATCTAGTATCGGCTTGGTTCGGCGCTCCATCCATCGGCATACGTCCACTACATACACTTCCGCTTGACGGATTATAATTAAGAAAATCCCAAATTAATATCGTATCATCGTGAGATGACGATACTATTTGGAACTCATCAAACTGAAGACGAAACACACGGCCAGTGTGCTCCTACAAAGATTACAAAAGAAGTACAAACAAGATTGGTAAGGAAGAAAAATTCAGTTGGGTATTTGACAAATTGCTGACTACATATAAAATATAGGGCAGACCGAGACAAATCCAATCACTTTTAGTTCAATACCGACGCCACACTGTAGAGTCTACAGTGTAGACAATGTGCACGCACTGACTCTTGTTTTAGGAGCGGAGAAAGAAGGACGAAGTAACTCGCGCGCCAGAATAATAAGTTTCAATCGGAATGTAACAAATGTAGTCCCAATTCTGTGATCCAATTCGCCTCGGTCGACCCTATAAGAAAATACACGTGTATGTAAAATATCTTACCACTAAAGTGCGCAAGCATAAAGTACTGGCAACGGCACGAGGGTCGAGAGCAGCTACAAGATCCCAAACTTTGATTTTTCTGCAAAACACAATAATAAATACGAATTCAATGCCTTTCCGAGCTTGTAAAATTAATGTTTATAAAACGAAATCTTTTAATGCAACTCTAAATTATCAATATGAAATCTGTTATATTTAATTATCAATATGTAGGATATCAATATGTAACGACGTTAGTTACAAATTTTATGTTTTTATATACGTTGGACAATAATACGCTATAAAGATAAATTGTATTTATCTAAGAGGAAGATAATGTATATATTACGCGTACAAAGTTTCTAGTCCGTATGTATACATATAGTACGCGTAAAGTTTCTAGTCGCTGAAGGCGTATGATCTCATGTTGCAAACGCAGAATTAAAATCAGAATTGAGACATTCGGATTTTTACATACGTACCCGTCATAAGCACCACTGACGATGTGCTTACTATCGAAACGAATACATCTCACTAATTCTTCATGCCCTTCCAAAACACGTAAGCAAGCTCCGCACTCAATATCCCATAATCGTATGGTATTATCACTACTGCCACTAACTACTAAGCGATCCCTATATTGCAAACACGCTATGCCGCGTTTATGTCCGTTCAGTGTTCGCACAAATTCGCAATTGGAGGTGTTCCATACTTTGATAGTTCTATCACCACTAGCGGACACAATGTACTTCTCATCAAAGTCAACCACGTTCACTGCCGCTCTGTGCCCAACCAATACTCTTCTCAACGCAATTTCTGTCTGCGATGTCATATCCCAGACTGCTATGGAACGATCCTGCAAACGATAAGTATTATCAATAATAATCCAGCCAAATATAAATTATAAAATAAATTATGACAAATAGAAATTCATTGTTCTCCCTCGACTGACCTTTGAGCAAGTAACCATCATGCCGTTATTAAATCTGAGATGCAGCACTGCCTCACAATGATGAATTAACGTGTTGACCATCTCGCCTGTAGTAGCATCCCAAACTCTCACAGTACTGTCCGAGGAACCGGATATTATAGCCTTATCATCGTATTGTAAACAAAGCACAGAACCCGTGTGGCCCGTCAATACTTTGATACACTGCAGAGTATTTCTGTCCCAGATCTTAATTGTGTTGTCTCGAAGCCCGGAAACTATCTTCTGATCATCATATTGCAGACAATAAACTCCTTTCGAGTTTTCGCTGCGACAGTTGATTCTCTGAAGATTGAATCGGCCCATTCTCCAATTGTTCTCTATACTCTCGATATCTTTAACAATTTTTGGATAAAGTGACCTGTAGAAATTGTGATTGGGATGGGCTTCGCCTGGTTTTGGTTTAAACAAATATTGTATCCTGAAAGCAAATTTCATAGGATAAATAAAAATATATAAAGAGATATTTTACATATATTCTATATTCACGTTTACAATGTAAACTTGTAAAAATATATGCTCTACACCTGTATTTATTACATTTGTGTTTATCACAAGTTTTATATATTGTAGTAAATTTCCACTCACCATCCTCTTCTTTCAGCCAGACCTCTCCAAACCGAATCTGTTCGGACCTTCCGTTCAATTAACTTCTTCCAAAGCATTCCTTCACTGATAACCCTATGCCACTCCTTGCACACTAGCTCTGCCGAAACAAGCGACTTTGCGTCAAGGTACGAAAGAATACTTTCCGCCACATGGTCCAGTCCTTTTTCTGTAAACCATTCGGTTGACGATATTAAAAGGTAACATTAGAAATATTATTCGAGATATGCGTAGATAATTTGTAAAAAAGTGTTAAGCGCGTATGTATCTGATTACTTACTTGGCAGAAGCGAAATAAAATCTCTCTGCAACATCGGTTTGAGATACGCGTTGATGTGTCCGTGCTGATAATGACACATTCGTGCTAACAGCTGTTCGACAAACTGCACTTGCTCTGACTCGCTCCATTTCTCAAACAGTTTCATACAAATTTCTTTTTCCTGTCCGTATTGCGTTGATGCTCCCGTAGACGGTTCTTTTTTACAACTGGGATCGTAAAGTATCGTCATTGGGTACTGTAACACAAAATATCAATGATTACAACTTTACATATCTACAATGTACCAATTTGTAAAAAAAGACAAATATACAAGAATAAGAGATTATAATTTACAAAATAATATACTTGTGATTAATCTCACAAGGCTTTTTTTATTAATGAATTAATATTAACGAAGAATAAAAACTCATATGCAGTAATTTCGTTAATCCAACCCTTCGATTATAAGATACATCCAATAATCCAGCACTGTCGCGAGTTGCTGGCCTCCTACGCATCTACAATGAAATTTTAGGACGTAAACTTTCAGAAAGTAACCACTCATAGTCGAATATGAGACGAATAATCGACAATTGGACATTTTCTTGCAAAAAGACAAACGCCCATTAAATGTAAAACTAGTTTTTTAACAAGAAATATTTTGTACTAAGTATTAATATGCAATACATAATTGCACGAATCTTTTTATTTAATATAATAACTTTAACTATATACTATATATGTATATGGTGATTTCATATACAATTTTATTTACATCTCCAAAATTCCAGCATTCTCCCCCCCCCCCAACCCCCTTTAGATTATGTCTAAATTCTTTTATTAACATCTTTCACACGTGCACATGTAATGACGTTTGTTCTTATTGTATCGACGCTAATGGGAATGCAAATAAATGTGACTAAAAATATCACATCGTGCACAATGTGTATTGTCATATCGATATATCGTTGTTTCCCGATTAATCACGTAGACGTTACACATCGGACTCGACAAGTTGTACGATGCGCACAATGCTCGAATACGGGTGCCATGGAGAAGAAAACCCAACATACTCAAAGAATCGTATTCCGAAATCCATAAATAAAATGCATCGTCAGTATGGTTAATAAAATCGTGATTATTTCTATTGGCGAAATGATACAAATGTAAACAAAACAACTAATAGCGTTTTTCACTGGTTGCACTAGTGCGCACTGAGTGCGCACTAGTCAAGAGCAGCGTGTTTCACTCATGAACCTATAATATATGGACTGCGCATCGCGATGAAAGAATGTATCCCATACAACCGAGAGAGATGCATAATAACTGGACATTTCTCCTCCGCTCATGCGCACAAGAGGGGCTTGAGACTGTTTCTCTCTAACCTTATCTTTAAAAAGTACAATTCACGGTAAAATATAAATCAAGATATAAATATTATGTGTCAGTTCTAAAATACCTTTCACATCTGCTAGATGTGCTATCCTCATCATCATCATCTAGTAGTGACGAAGAAATTTGGAATGAAGAATCACGAAAAATTCCAAAAATCGAAAACTTTATTGTAAAGTCCCACACTTCGCTTGGTTGCAGTTTTATTGTTAGCAACTTATCATTCACTTTAAAATTCACTTCAAATTCTTCCATTATAACAAATTCGTACGTACGTAGAAAGGTTAAGAACGAAAAAACGTGACACTTGATCTGCGTCGAATGTTTAACTGGGAGTGCAAAAAACTCGCACTTTCAGAAACATCGTGCAGTATCGGTGCGCACTTGTGCAATTTCGGTGCGCACTCAGTTCCTTCCAGTGAAAAACGCTATAAAACTTGATCGTGTAGTTAGAAATAAATAATAAAACACGTTATTATTACTTCGTAGGCCACACATGGCATTTTTTCCAAATAAATAATCAAAGTCTTATCCCATACGGCACAGATGGTTGCAGTTACATTGTAGAAACGTTGCAATCTTGCAGATTGCAGTGCAATCTTGCAGAGACATTGCAGGGATGTAAAATTGCAAACTTTCGATAGCAATATTGCAGCAATGTTTCAAAAATAATGAAAACACTATATTTTCTATTTAAAAAATTTTTCTAATTACGAGAATTTTATTATGTTATTTTCGTTGATACCAATAATGCGCGAATTATTAAGTACTTGATCAGTGCGGTGTTGCTCGCAATAGATGGAGATTGCGAGCAACACCGCACTGATCAAGTACTTAATAATTCGCGCATTATTGGTATCAACGAAAATAACATAATAAAATTCTCGTAATTAGAAAAATGTTTTAAATAGAAAATATAGTATTTTTATTATTTTTCAAACATTGCTGCAACATTGCTATCGACATTTTGCAATTTTATATCCCTGCAATGTCTCTGCAAGACTGCAACGTTTCTGCAATGTAACTGCAACCATCTGTGCTGTATGGGGTGTGGGATCGTTCCGTTTGCAATGTGAACAAAAATAATACAATAATGTTACAGATTAGTGGCATAATAATTGTAAAAAATAGTGGCATAATAATTATAAAAAAAATGTAAAAACTGTAAAAAGAAATAATAAGTATATCGTGAAATTTAAAAAGTCTTTTAAATGCTTCGTGTTTCGTAAACTAACGGCTAATAATCAACGGCGAGACTGCAATTTTCGCAATTTTAATGTTAACAATTGAGAACAAACGCAGGAAAGTGCTAATCTTATCGCGATATTAAGAAACTTAAAATGTCGAAAGACATGATGTAAAACAGCGAGATTTTTAATTCTACCGTGTTCGTGCCAAGTTGCTATAAGAACGCTTAAGCATCCTGAGTCAAGTTTGGAAACGTACTATTCTCAATGATAGAAATATGCGCGCACACAACGTGCACACAAACAAAAAGAAAATACAAGAATTTTAAACTATTCACAAATCCGTTTCCCTTCCTCCTTCTGGAAAAAGGAAAAATGAAGACAATCGATTTTTTGCCAAAGCACAAGTATATTTTGTTTCTAATCTCTTTTATCTCTCAAAATAATAACAGATAAATTACAAAATTGGAATATGCCGATAACATGGATGTAGGAATAACTGCAGATAGAGCGTAAGATACTTTCTTGGGCGAGAGGGGTGAAGCCTGAGAAGTGAAGGGAAAATTGATCGGCAGCCATCTTGGTTGGCAATTTAACATGGCGACTCGAAGCATATGGCACATAAGAGTGGCTGTGTTCCGATATTCACTGCCAGTATTGAAAATGTATAGTATACGTGACTTAAACTCTAGATTTGCAGTACTAGTAGTGAATATCGGAACACAGCCAGTATCGACGCACCAACAAGAACACACGAGTTGTACATATCGTTTCTTTTAATTAGAATAGATAAAAGTTTATCACACTTTATAACCGAAATGTGTGACGTTAATAATAATAGGCGTCTAATAGTTAGTTTCCATTTATATTCAAATGATACTAATTGTAAGTGTAAAAATACTGATTCATAACCTCATTTTCAATGTGAGTCTATATATTAGACGATGCTTTCCATTCATCGACACAAGTTGATACAAGTATCATTTCGTCCTTGTTGTTCACTGGATGTTGAAAAAAAACAGATTGACGCTGTGTCGATTTGTGCTGCTGTCTTGAAGAAAAAAATAAGATGAGGTTATGAATACTATCTTGCTGATTTGGTCACTCATAGCCGCCATCTCGGTTGGCAATTTTCGTCCCACGTCTCCGGCTTCACTACCCCCTCTCATATGCTCCATCCAGGTATTCCTACACCCATGGCCGATAATCATATTAAAGATCGGATAAGATTTATATTTTTTATTAGATCAACTCTGGATGATATTAGAAATATCGTTGGAAAACATTACTTAAAAGCAACAAGTCGTTGTGAAAAAAAACGAAAAAATATGTCTTTAATAGAAAAAAATCCGCAGTAAAAACATTTTAAAATTCACATTAAAAAGTTTTAGATAATGTATATCGCTTTGTAAAGTAACCCGATAATAGGGTGTTGAATATGGAGCCTGCAGCACCTAGTAACACTGATTGGTGTTTCTATGTTCGCTCACGTGATCTTCGGACGAGGACGTTTGCCTCTCTTATTATGTCTACGCTCTCGAGTAACAGTGTGTGTGCAAACTCAAGCACGTTTAAAGCAGAGACAATCTCTTTCTGATTTTGTTTTTTTTTTATAATAGATTTACACCGTTCAAGCACACATATACACTTCTATTGTATTTTAACCGATTAAACGTAATTAACCGCAAAAAGCGCCTTCTCTGTGTAAGCTGAATCTATAATCCTACCCAACATAGGGTAAACGAAGGCGAATCGAATCATTTTTAGTTCGATATCGACGCTACACTGTAAACAATGTGCTCTTGTTTTAGGAGCGGAGAAAGAAGGACGAAGTAACTCGCGCGCCAGAATAATAAATTTCGATCGAAATGTAACAAATGATAGTCTCAATTCTATGATTCGATTCGCCTCGTCGATCCTAAAAATCCATTTTAGACGATCTATAATTCGCGTTAAATTTCAAAGAGTGGAACACAATACTTTTGTGTATTGTGATATATTTTTGTTTCTTCAAGTGTTCGTCAAATTACACAGCGTACAAATTATAAATGAATTATTATCTTCAATTCTAACACAAATTATAGTTTAACCACTTTATAAAGTTAACCTTACTCTTCAAATTTTCGTATTACTCATATGACAAATAAAAACAGTAAAAAAGTATTTAAAAAATTGAAACGCCCGCCTAGTGAGGTGGAGGTTCAGTTTCAAACCCTGGCTGGGGTAATATTTCTCGCAATAAATTTAAAATATGAAATATTTAGACACTAGCGCTCTGTCACGGCTCTTAGTCCTTTATTCCTTCAAATTTATGTTTATCACATTTGAGCCATACGAATTTTATTAATTTAGTAAAAAATTTGTATCATAATTCAATGTATTCGGAGATTTTATTTATCGTGTAAAAAGGAAGAAACAATATTTGAAGAATAAGACAATGGACGTATAAAATGTTTTCTACCACAATGTAGGCAAACGTTAAGATACAATAAAATATAAAATAAAATTTTTAATACAATTTTATGTTAAACCCTGACGCGAATTATAATAATCTAAGTCGGGCTTAAGCGTACATTTGCGAAACTAGAATCGCGGATGAATCTTGAGGTAGAGAACGAAGTACCGGGTTCTTGACCTCTCTCGCACCATTCCCTCTCGCTTGTACAACACCGTGTAT